TTGTAGGAACATGCAAGGATTTAAACACACTTACAAAAAGTATCCTTGCATTTTCCTTTATAAATGTTCTCTTTTTTTATAAGGGTTCCCAGTACGTGTGTCTTATTAAATTACTGTGTGGGCATTGTTTTCAATTTTATAATTAAAGGACATCGGACCTAACCTGCATGGATCTTTTGTATTTAACCCTGTACGTGCACTTTTTAATTCTTTTCGAAAAGGGGAAAATCCCTATTTTATTTTAGGTAGCACGTGCTGCACCGGATGGATGGGGTGATTGTGACGTCACCAAGCTGATCGATATACACAGAAAGACTGTTTTTAAAATTAAGTTGCAGAGGGATTGTTTACAGGTCATTGATGTCGGATCATGCATGCTTTTTTCGTACATATATTTACGGGAACACAGATTTGTTTTTTAATGCATGCTTAGAAATTTGATTCCAGGATTTTACTACTATTTACGAACTTTTGAGGGATTTCTACGCCATTGATTTTAAATTTCTCAATCCAGATTGGAACGTCAAGCGGACTGCACGTGATGTGTACTGCTAACGGAACGGAAAATATATTTTCTCGATTTATTTCACCGGTAAACTATTGTCCGAGCGCTGACCACTGGTCGACTCATTCATTGCATGCACACAAAAATAATGCTGGCCTTATAGTACTTTAACAAAACGTTTATCGATTAAATTTCAGAAATACATGTACATGATTTGGAGCAGATTTTATTTTGCAGGAATTGATTTGTATTTCAGAAAGAAATGTATTCATAAAAAAAAGAAGGATTAGCATTTTTATAATAAAATAGAAATGGGATTCCTCAAAAAAAAAGGGGGGGAAGGGGGCTAGATGGGTAGTTGTGGGCATTGGATGATTTACAAAGATAAATTGCATGTACGCATCATGAGAGCTGTAAAATTTGAAGCTATAATTAGTTAATTTGTTCATTTTTCCATTTCAGTGGCATGAAAACCCCCAAAATACTACGCGTATCATTTCGACAAATACTCTCGACTTAAATAATGTCGTGACTAACATTTTGCTCACATTTTTTTAAATTTTACCCCTAACTTTTTTCTGAGTAAAAGCAGTTTGAAGTGAAAGTCAAAATTTAGAACATGACCTTGACCTTTGACCTTGACCTAATTTTCTAAGTTGGGACCCAAGGACCTTCAATAAAGCGACTCTAGGTTTATACGGCTTACGGTTTATGGGTTTATATGCATATCACTTATATCAAATGCATAAGGGGAAATAACTCTCATATTGAGACATCAACTTGAAGATATAGCAAGCACTTTGGTAAAATAAATTTGTCGTAATCTTTTACGGTTGCGAAGGAGTAGTGGACACAAGAAAAACAGTGTTCGGGGAGATAACTCTTACAACGTAAAGTGTACGGTTTAACAGGGTCAATTTCAAAAGCGCCAAAACTGTTCGATATCATATGCGAAAAATCTAAGCAAAATCTTGCGAAACCACAATACTACGCAAGAACAAAATGTGGCGGAAGAAAAAAATAAAATCTCAGAACAAAACCAATAGATCTTTCTACGAAAAGTAGAAAGACCTAATAAAAGTTCACGAGTATTAGTTCTTACCTTTTTGCAGTGAAATCAATTTTACCTGTAGAGGTTATCTTAAATGTACATAAAAATAAGCAGATTTATCAACTGTTTTATCAGAAATGACATCGTTTGACCTTCGTGTTAAAATAGTTGTCCACTAACAAGGAGGAAAACTACTTTGATTGTTTCCATCTTTTTATTTTCTTTTTATTCTCACCGCATCGGTCTTGTACAAACCATTGTTTATTTTGATATCACATTTTGAGTCCTCAATGCTCTTTAACTTCGTACTTGCTTTGGCCTTTTAATTTTTTTTTATTCGAGCGTCACTGATGAGTCCCTCGTAGACGAAACGCGCGTATAGCGAACAAAATTATCATCTAGTCTTGAACATCGGTGCGCTTGCTATAATAACCATGCCCTGCGAATAAACACTAATAAGACTGTCGTATTGCCGTATCGATAAGGAATAATCATCTGTGCAGTTATCTACCTTAAAGGATAAAATATAATTTCAAAATAACGTTGATATGTTGTAATTTTCACCTGATTATGAATACTACATGTACAACTTATATGTATGGTCTTTGCCCCAACGTTGACGAATTACATGAAATTATATCAAAATCATACTTTCAAGAACCAACAAATGTTTACAATGTTTAATGGATAAGACCATAACCATTGTAGTCAGTATGGAAACAATAATAGTACAGTTGTGGAATCAGGTGGGGTGTAGTGGACACCCTTAAATTAAAACATGTCGTTTCTCTTTAAATCGTTTCCACCGTGATCCGCTCAGCAACAAAAATTAAGGTTACGCCTTCTAACCTCAACCCCTTTTCACACCATTGCTGTTAATAAACATAAATAACAGCTTTTTAGTTGTTTTTTACATTACTAAATCAAGTTGCTATATCCAACAGATGATGGAAATTACATATACCTCAACGCTTCAAAAATAGAGCCAGGGCAGAAATCAAATTTTACAAGTGTGACTGTGTCTTCGGATGGTGATGCCTGTTTTACTTTCTGGTTCCATATGTATGGAGACGGAATCGGAACGTTAAATGTTTACCTCGTATCAGAGACAATGACGCAAAAACTATGGTCAAGATCAGGAAATAAACCAGATTTATGGCAGTTAGCATTCGTTGATATTTCAATATTAGATCCATACCAAATGACGTTAGAAGGGGTTCGGGGTTCAACGAAAAAAAGTGATATAGCAGTAGATGATATTTCACTGCTGCCCGGGTCGTGTGATAAAAAAGGTAAATATGTTGACTTTATATATTTTAAGCTTAGCCTGATAAATAAGCGTTGAAGCTGTGTCCTCTTTATTTTTTTGTTTTCAAATACAAAATGTTATTGTATTTAAGATTAGAAATGTGGACTTCGTGTGTTTGTTGTTGATTATATTGTAGTTAAAATTCTTATCTGGCACATGATAGAAAATACGTTAAGTTTATTATAATGAGACAATAACCAAACACTATTATTATTTTAAATGAATCAACATATATCTATATACATTTATTTTGTTGTGCCTGGAGTGTCCCTTCCATCTTAAGCTTAAGGAATATACCGGTTTCCTTTGTGAGGTCAAAAATGCCTTAATTGTTAATACAAGTATATCTTTATATTTCCCTATTAATTATCTATTGTCCAACAGACAGTTCCTGATTGTTTTTTATCTTTGTTTGCATAGGATATAAATCTTTATCACATATTTGTTACGAAAACATTGGGTTTTGCATATACAAAAACCACATATTTGCCCTAGTCATATTCCTGCCCGGTGCAAATAACTGGTTATATATTGTGACCTATAATGAAGTCACAAGCGTTCATAACAACAATGACGGACTAAGAACGTCGATTAGAATGACAGCGTAATTTGTTAACGAAATAAAGAATAATTATACTAAAAGAAAATCTGACATTGACTTTATAATATACAAGGACTATAGTTTTGAACTGTTGGGGAGCTTCGTAATAATGAAGTTATTTCAGTGGAGGACAAAACATGTATGATCTTGCCGGAAGGAATAATAAAATACTTTCTACTGTTTTAAGCATTTATATAATATGTAATAAATAGATCATAACATGTCCTTTTCCATATGGGCCCTGGTATCATTCGTCGACTCATATGAGCCCTCGGCTGGCGCCTTGGGCTAAAATGGGAGTCTTGGGATAGTAGAAGGGCCGATATGGAAAAGGTCATGTTATAATCTATACATATGAAATGGAGAGGGCTTCTCTCTTTAACTGTATTTCCACAAATCCCTAACCTTAGCTTGGAACAATTGTAAAGTTATCAATTATAACATGCACGCTTTTATCAATTAGAATAATGAATATCTTAAATATCAAATGCTAAACAAATCAAAATTATTAACACAGATACTTGATTAACATTCAACAGATATCTAGACTTTTTGTAATTTTTAAAGATATATTCGTTCGTTCTCACCATATAGTATACATGTACTTTTTTTTCTCTAATAAAACAACCTTTGGTAATCCGGATATGGATCATCGCCAGTTTTTCCTGGGGTTCATGATGGTTAACCTTTGGTTTTCTATGTATTCTTCTGTAGATATTTTGACTCTTTGTCGTCTTTTGTTTTTGCCATGTATAATGGCAATGTCAGTTTTGATTCGAATAACAAATTAATGTTCCCGTTTTATCGTCCGCTACTGTTGTATCTCAATAATCTTGTTATCAAAAGATGTTGTTAACGTATCCGCAAAAAAATAGAAAAATATACGTCAAGATTGAATTAAAAAAACTGATGAAGAAATATCTGTACATACAATTGAATTTTGTTGTCTATGAAATACATTTTTTCACCTTGTCAAATGAGCAACAATCCTTATTATCAAAGAAGTTTCTCCCATTTTTATATGAAGGCTAATAAGAATCAGTGTCTGTTCATTTTTGGGATTTAAATGTTTGCAACCTGTACCTTTAAATAAATACAATAGCTAGTGTTCTCTGTGGAGTTCACTTAATAGGCAAATTAAATTTCTCCTTGAAAGCCATTTATTCATTAATCAGTTTGGCTGTACCAAAAAACAAAATAAACGTCTAGTGATGAAACTGCATGTACCAATGATAAAAATTGAAATGGCATTGTCTGAGCAAGAGATAATAAATACAACTCTATTTCCATAAAAAAGAAACTAATTTTAAATGTATTTAGTCAGTACAGATGAATAGTTATTTTGTCAAAGTATTATGTTATAAGATTGTAGATGATTTTAGTCTAAATAGATAATATTGCAAAAACATTATATCATAAACTTTGGTGTTACAGTAATAAAACTCAAAGCTGACATAGTAATGCCGACAACACTACCATCGTGCAATCTAGTAACCCAATAAAAACAGACAATATGTAAAACTAAAGCGGAAATAATTTGTTGATTGAATATTCACAACATCATATGCAGTTTTGTGTTTCATAATTCAGTATGGGAACATGCATGTTCATCACTAGCAGCTTGTTTTTTATAGTCAAAATAATCAATGAAGAGACTGGTTTTTCGAGGAGAAAATACAAATTTCCCTTTTAATGAACTCAACAGAGAAAAATATATATTGTATTTTATCAATGATATAGTTCATGTTGATAGAATTTAAATGACCAAGTAAAGAGGTACTGATTCTGGTGAGAGATTTTATTGCCTTTGCAATAAGTTTAATTTTCACAATTTCACATGCAGAAATAAACAAAAAACATTTCACTGCCTTGCAATTTATCGTCACTCGGAAAACATTGGTGACTATATGTACCTTATTTGTTTAGATAATAATTGTTTATTTTGACGTTTTCACATAATGTCGGCAATCTAGTTTTCAAACAAATCTCAAGAAAAAAAGAAAACAAATTATTTAAAAACAGAGATTTTCTTGATGCCTATATGTTGACATTTAAACGTTTTTTACCTCTTGTCGTTACTCGTTACCGCTTATTTACTAAGTTTACTATTTATTAAATAACTGCATTTCCAAAATCGAAAAATAAAAATATAAAATGACTTCAAAATGCATTAGAAAAGTAAGTTTTCTTGTTATTATACATTTTTTAAATTTGAAGATTTCAAAATGGAGGAAAAATAAATTTCTCTTGGTTTGAAATATATTTTGTATATAATGTAGGTTGCACTTTGTAAATACAGCTGTTTCACAAACCATGCCTCTTTTTCATAGAAATTTTGTTTTGTTTACCTTCTGGTTCCCCTATATGATCTCAATATTTCATCTCGGAGAGCCATAACTTGCAGTGAATGCAGTCACAGGACTTTAAATATTTCAATCCTTAATGGATTGATTTAAAAAACATATATATATAAGTAAGCAATGAATGTGGTTGTTAAATTTGATAGATGCTTTTTGTGCTTCTTTTTTAAATATTTGTTTTTTTTTTTAGATTGTGACACAGTGATGACTGCTGTACCCATATTTTGACAATGTTACTTATTATGTCTGTTTTGTTCACGCATCGTTGTAAATATAATGGAATTTGATGCGACTGTCATACAAGTGAGAGATTTAGCGCTATAAAACCAGGTCCAATCCACTATTTTCTACATTTGAAAATGCCTGTACCAAGTCATGAATATGACAGTTGTTGTCTATTCGTTTGATGTGTTTTATCATTTGATTTTGCCATTTGATTAGGGACTTTCCGTTTTGAATTTCCCTCGGAGTTCAGTATTTTTGTGATTTTACTTTTTGGGAATGTTACCAGTAAATATACACATGCATAGCGGTGAAATTGAAATCTGTGGAAGACCCAAAGTGAAGGGAGGGGTAGTACAGAATTTTAGTATAAGTTTAAACTTTTCAAAGTTCGGGGTCTATAAATGTTGAAAATATGCCACACAGCCCTATATTTTGACCTTTGAAAAAAAAGGAGTGTATATTAGCTTTCCATTCTAGGATATAGTTTTTTACGAAACATCATAAAAGTGGTACAATTTTAGCAGTAAAAGGAGTTCCTATGGGAAACTGCATTGCCTATATTTACAGAATTGCAACCTACAGAATTTTGCATTGTTCTTGTCTGAACAATCTATATGATCATCCTAAAGGACTCTTCTTTCCAGTCTTTTGTATTTTCACGCTGAATAACACTTTTGCAAATATCTTTCAATAGAAATAATCTATCATGAAAGTGTTACTTTGTAAATCACAAGCAGTCTTTTGAAAGTGTGTACTTACGTCATATTCATGTTTGTCAATTTTAGAATTGCAACATAGCAACCAAAGTTCTTCTTCCAGGTTTCTTGCAAATGAAATGTCTACGGCTGTTCTGAGAAACCGTTTGTCGAAACTTTTCACAACCTATGCACATACTTACCTTTTGTCTGTAGTTCATCATAACGTTATACATTTTGAGTTATTGTAGATTCTGGGGAGATGGAGGAATGTGTTAAGATATAAATTCCGGAGGACTAAAAAGGGATGGTGGAGTCTGCTAAATCTTTACCCAGACAGAAATTGTGCTACTATATGTCCATAACAATGATGTATTTTCGAAAGATGTTTACATATTATCTTTTTTGGGTAAAGTTTTGTTTCATATCAAGTTGGCCAGGAGATGTGTAAAAAATTGCCAATTCAAGTAAAAAGATGGATTATGATCATCAAATCTATTTTGGTAATCAGATATACATATTTTAGGCAAATCGATTGCTTTTTTTATTGTATAATGAAATAAAAATTGAAGGAAATCGTATGCTCTTTTATTATTTTTTACGAAATATCCCTCAAAATACTAACTGAATATCTAGATTTGATGCTGTCATGATGTTGAAGGTTTTTCAGAGCCCAATTCTGCCCTTTGTCATGAATGCTCTATTAAACTATCGTGCAAATTTAACAATTATATTTTAGCTTTCTTCTTGGACTGTAACTTTGAATCAGAAAAATGTAATTGGTTGGCAAGTTCTAACACGACATACATTTGGACAACAAATAAAGCAGGGGACAGTACGAAGAGACCGGATCATGACCACACCATTGGAACCGGTATGGGCTTACATTATAATTAACTAATAACTAACTACATATCACAAATTTTCATGTTTTTGTTATTCGATAATTTAATTCTGGTGAATTTTAAGTCAAGCGACTGTTATTTTAATGAAGACTACCAACAAACTTTATTGTTGACTTTAATCCACTGTATTTGAATAATAGTTATGACGTAAATTGATTTGGATCCAACGAAACACGTCCTGGTTGGTATTTTAAATAATACCTATGAATTTGAGAAAATTTTCAATCTATAAATGATATGTATTCACATCAATTTATTATCTCTAACGTCAACGTCAATGATGATGATCGTTTACTGTATAGTTGTTGATATTATAAATTTTCAAATTACTCTTCACACCAAAAGGAATGGGATCAATTCCCCTTATATTTATTATTCGACAGAGTCGATATCTAAAAATTGAGAAATTCAACAGGAACAGGAGTGCTATCATGAATAGAGAATATCATATGGCTTTTTCATTATCAACTCGAGACATCTTTTTGAGGGATTATATTCGTTGAGGGTTGATACGGTGTGTAACATTGAAAAACCCATATCATATTCCCTTTCTCATATACCTCAAGTAGATGTTTCATATTACATGATGTAGTGCAGATTTTTATGGATTTGATAAAGCCTTTGTAACCGAGAGTGATATCGATGACGCGACGTCATACAGTTTAGGACTGTGATAAATCTTCTGTAATTGTGACTCATATCGATAATATCCCGTCTTGCTGATATTACACGAACAATTTACCTGTAGTTCTTACTTAAAATATAATAAAAAAACACTTTAACATATTTTCATTATGCCATTCAGTGTTCATCATGGTGTTGAGGTTATTTTATACATTTTGATAATCAGTATCCTAAAGACAATGTACATGTTCATGTAAATTTAAACCTTTACCTCAACAGGAATTTTACTCTGATTAAGATTGTCTTTTTTTCTAAATTTACAGTTTTTAACTATATTAAATCGTTTTTGATTTGTTCATTTGTTTAGAAATAAGCTTTTATATATTTACAACCTCAAAGTTCACACACGGAGCTTTAAATTGTGAATCTACGTAAGCATTGTAAGGCTTTGGAAATGTCTCTCTGGTGAAATGAATTCATTGATAAATAGGAATTTTTTATGATTCCAACCAAGACTTTTTTTACTTATTATTTTATGCTTTTAGTTTGTTCGACAATCGCATGTTTTCAGTAACTTTGCAGTTTAAAATAAACCAAATCTTATGATTATCAAGCAAAATTAACTGAAGAGACAGGATTTCCTCTGCAAGACTTGAATTACGAGGGTATATACAACCCCCATAACGTTTTTATAGCATTTATAAGGCAATACAATCAAGTTGAGAAATAGTCCTTTAAGTATATGTCAGGGCTTTTAAATAAGCTTTGATTAAGGTTAATATTATAGTTTTTTGTTTAACTATTGTGTCTAGTATTTTAGAGTTTTTCCTGCACTTTTTCTATAGTTGGTGTGCATCTTCTAACGAGTATACCCTCTGATATTAAAGTGATAAAACTCAACGATACCAGTTTAAAGAATGATATGTTGTATGCTTGCCAATTGGACATGTATCTTACAAAGTCCAAATGACACCGAAATATAGATAATCATACAGTGGGCAACACAAATACCTTATAGTATGGTATAAAAGGACCCGAAATTGCAAAATGTGAAACATTTTTCAAACGGAAAAAAACAACAGCTTAATTAATGACATGAAAATAAAAAAAAAATTTGACAGACAGCAACAATTGAATTACGGGTACCTGACTAGGAACATTAAAAATGTGGCGGGTTTACACATAGTTGTAAAAGTTGAATCCGTCCCTTACCTGGAGACACTGGTGCAAAGCACTACTTTAGAACACATCACATTGAAATTGCTTTACTCATCATGTTGGCATGACGCCCGAAAAATTACTTACATTAAAACAAAAGACAACCAATCTACCTGTAAGGGTACTCACGGTTACTGAAAGCTAGTTGCCAATTAGAATCAATGAATAAATCATGTTCACACAAATTATCAATATGATACATCAAGCTTATGATTTGGTAAGCTAGACATTTCTTCTACTTAAGACTGATCAGTGGCGCTTGAATCAAAACAGTTGGAAGGTCGAATACGAATGTGGTGAGCATTGAACACAAAAAGTTCAAAAACCTAAGTGTTGTAAATACGTACACATTTCATTAAAAATAAACTCATTATAGATGCCATGATTGAAATTGTGAATGCCAGACGCGCGTTTCGTCTACAAAAGACTCATCAGTGACGCTCGAATAAACAAAGTTAAAAAGGCCAAACAAAGTACGAAGTTGAAGAGCATTGATGACCCAAAATTCCTAAAAGTTTTGCCAAATACAGCTAGGGTACTCTATTCCTGGGGTAGTAACAGTTAATCTACAGATAATTATCGCTGGACGGTATCATTTTGGTATCAATAGTTTAAGTTTAAGTCTTTTGCGATTGATTTCATCCGCTGCGATGTTTAGGCACTATTGTAATTGTTTTGCTTGTACCTGTAATAGTGTTGCCCTTTAACCAGTCATATCGGTACACGTACATTTGAACTGATTATAACGTATGTTCTTCCATTTCTTTGACAGACATTTAAATCAGCAGCAAAATTCATGTTCATACTACAACTTATATAAGAATGACTAAATTTCCTCAGGAAACAATACACATTGAAAACAGTATTGATAAATTTTGGGCAGAATGCTATCTAAATATTTAAGCAATTGTCGTGGCATCACCCTATTCATTTACCGTGGTAATCTAAAATCAACGCTTCCTAAATCTCTCGCTGAAATGGACTTACCAAATTATATTCAATTGTTTTCTTTGTGTGCTTAATTTCGTTCAGTTTGAATCGACTAGTTTACTGATTTCTGTTCACTAATGGAATTAATTTTAAAACTTACCTTTAGCTTTTGTAATTTTTACTTGTCTAACTGGGAATAGAACCCCTCCTTGAAGTATGTTATGCACGACTGATATCAAACACATCTCGGCTACCAATGGGTTATGTACATATCAATGAACATATATTAATTTTTAAATATGAGACACACAGGAACAATGGACACAACTTTTATATGTATATATATAAAAGACAGTCGTATAGTATGAGTTGGTAGCCGCGATGTTAAGATGAATGAGTTGCAGAGTTTTCTTTATTGTCCATTTTATTTTTTCGTTTTTCCGTGTTTCTTATTTTGTATCTTATTGTTGATATTTTTGTATCAAAAACGGATTTTCTCGTTTAATTTTGGTTTATTATTATACTATTTCACGTATTTTAAAGAAAATGATTACATTCAATTTTTCCATTCTTTTTCATAGATATACGGTGATTTCATATGTTTAAATACATATCTTTACAAATGGATATTCGCAAATTTATATGAGAGTAAATCGTGATGTGCATAGAATTTGTTTCTTGCTAGAATTTCGTTAACATATATAACTGTATACTTCAAAATTAGTTCGAATATGCCTTATGTTGTGAATAACGGATAATGTTCAATCAGATTTATAAATAATTCAATGGAAATTTCAGTACAGTATATTGAAAGTGCATGCGATTTTCTTTTTTTATATTATTTCATGATTTAAATCCACTACCTATATACAATGTACTTCTAATTGTTGATTGCTTCTTGTGAATCGTTCCTGATAATTAAGTGGTTTTTAAATTCACTGACAATACGGCATAATTAATGAAAAACTGTAATTTTTGCGGATCGAAACAATAAAGGAATCAGTCACCCTGTTTGTTATTGGTTTCAGCATTCATCCATTTTAAAGACTTAACTTGTTGGGCATATGCGCAAATATCTCCAATTGAGGCCACATCAAAGGTCGCATGCATATGAATTTAGATAATGCCTTATTATTGTCGTTCAAGTCAATAATGTATCAGCGAAGTTTTTAGGCTTATTTTGACCAAATTGAAATTAACTGACTGCTAATAGCGGATAAGTATTCCATTTTCCGTTCTTTTCAATGTTTGAACTTATACTGTCAAAATCGTTGCTTATGTTCTTTAAAATTTGAGGACTTCGACAACAAATAATTAATTCACTCTAAAGGATCACGTGTATGTGCCATGTCAAGAGCTTATTCAATAGTCAAAAGTTGATTAAAATTTGGTGTCGATTGTAGATCTCGGTCTGTAGTTAATTCTTTACAAATTTGCTAAAAAAGAAGCGATTTAGATATTGACATATAATAGACAGGGGGCCTCGGTGGACGAGTAGTCTAAGTAGTCAAACTAGTGTATCACTAGCCTGTCAACACTGTGATTTTGAAAGTTGAAGGTGCGCTCGACTCCTATCTTAAGTCACTAGGATTGTCATTTTTCTTACCGAAGGTCTGTGGTTCTCTCCGGGCACTCCGGCTTCCTCCACCAATACAATCTTACCACCAAGAAATAGCACAATAGTGCTGAAAGTGGCGTTAAACAACAATCAATCGATTAATATAATATACATTCCTTTGTCAAGTGTCGAAGACAGTATTATGCCTATTCAATGTCTGTCGATGTTTCCTGTCGTATGATTGATATGTCATGGAATTATGTTGTATATCTGCCTGTACTTATACATCTGGTTAAAAAATTATCTTCCCTGATATTTGTTTCTCTTTCATAGACAGGCAGTGAGTATACGTAGTGAGATACTATTGTCAATGAATTATGTGTAGTCGCAACCAAATTCAATCTTTTAAAATTGTAATTAATGCTGACAAAAATGTAATGGACTATTCAAAAAAGTTAGTTACCAGGGCGCAATTACCAGTTGGTAAGCTCCCCACCAAAACAAATAGCCGTAAGCTTAACCGTTGTTCTTTCTATGTGCCATCACTGGGAATAGAACCCCGCCTTGAATTATGTTACCCATGACTGATATCAAACACAACGACGAGAAACATCTCGGCTCCCAATGGGTTGCAATTTAGATGTCTATTTTATGTAGATATCAATTAACATAAATTTATTTTTAAATATGATACACACAGGTACAATGGACACACCTTTTTATGTATATAAAATACAGTCGTATTGTGTGAGTTAGTAGCCGCGAGGTTTAAATGAATAAGTTGCCGAGTCAATGTTAGAAGAGATTTGTCGGGTTGGTTTAGGTTCAAATCCCTGTCTTCTCTTAGTTGTCCATTTTCTTTCGTTTCTCCTTTTTTCTAATTTTTTATGTAATTGTTATTATTTTTTGTATAAAAAACGGATTTTATCGTTTATTTTTGGTTTGTTATTATGCTATTTCACGTATTTTAAAAGAGAATAATTACATTCAATTTATCCATTCTCTTTTTCATAAATATACGGTGATCACATCTGTTTCAATACATATCTGTACAAATGCATATTCGCAAATTTATATGAGAGTAAATCGTGATATGCATAGAATTTGGTTTCTTTCTAGAGTTTTGGTAACATTATTATTATATATACTTCGAAATTAGTTCGAATATGCCTTATTATGTGAATTACGGATAATGTTCAGTCAAATTCATAAATTATTTCATGATTTAAATCCACTATCTGCATACTTCTAACTGGTGGTTGCTTCTTGTGAATCGTTCAAGATAATTCGGTGGTTATTTAAACTTTTCAGTTTTTCAGCATTCTTCCATTCAAATAACTAAACTTGTTGAGCACATGCGCAAATATCTTTAACTGGGGGGAAATCAAAGGTCACATGCATATAAATTAAGATAATGTCTAAGTATTGTCTTTCAAGTCAATAATGTATCAGCGAAGTTTTGAGGCTAACTTTGACAAAAATTGAACCAAACTGACTACTAATAGCGAAAAAAGAATTCCATTTTCCGTTCTTTTCAATGTTTGAAATAAAAACTTTTGTTTCAACTTATACTGTCAAAATCGAAGCTTATCTTCTTTAAAAGTGGAGGACTTCGACAACCAATTATTAATTCACTCTAAAGGTTCACATGTATGTGCCATGTCAGCAGCTCATTCAATCGTTGATTTAAGTTTGGTGTCGATTGTAGATCTCGGTCTGTAGTAAATTCTTTATAACTTTATTAAAAACGAAGCGATTTACATCTTGACATATATTAGACAGGGGGACTCGGTCTAAGTAGTCGAACTATCGTTAGAATGTGAACACTGATGTTGTGATTTTGAATCCCGGACGTGGCAGGTGCGCCCGACTCCAATCTTAATTTATTAGGATTTTCAGTTTTCCTCCCGAAGGTCGGTGGTTCTCTCCGTGAACACCGGCTTCCTCCATCATACAAATTGGCCACCAATAAATAGCATAAATAGCATAATAGTGCTGAAAATTACGTTAAACATCTATCAATCATAATAACATACATACTTTTGTCCATTGTCGAAGACAGTATAATCCCTTTTTAATGTCTGTTGATGTTTCCTGTCGTATGGTTAATATGTCATGGAACTATGTTCTACTGTACTTATACATCTTGTTAAAAAATTGTCTACCCTGATAAATAAATCTTTGTTTCTAATTACATAGGCAGGCAGTGAGTATATGTAGTGAGATACTATTGTCAATGAATTATGTTTTTGGTTTCTATTTTCATTTCATTTATTATATTTTTTTTTCTTTTTTGTTCCAAAAGTTGATGGACACTACATGTACCTTGACGGTTTAGATATACCAGTGGGTACGAAGTCTAAATTGACCAGTACCATTATCAACCCTGATGGTGATATTTGTTTTACTTTCTGGTATCATATGTATAAAGAATACATAGGTACATTAAGTGTTTACACAGAATCAAGAAACACCATTCAGATGCATTGGTCACAGTCCGAACAAAAAAACACGTGGACATTTGCTAATTTTACCATTTCTAAATCAGAACCGTACAGGATTATATTTGAAGTGGTTCGAGGAAACGGTTTTTTTGGTGTTATAGCATTAGATGATGTTTCACTACTTGAGAGTTCGTGTTCAGGTAAGAAAGGGGACATGTCAAAGACAATCAGAAAGATATTTTAGGTTCGGCATGTTCTGTAATTGGCTATCCAAATACTTAAAACCAAGGACACATAGTTTTTAGGGGAAAAAATATTATTGTATATGCTCTTATTGTCTTTATTATACGCCTGCTCCTTATGTGGGGGTTATTGTGATCTTTCCATCCGTCCGTGTGCCTGTCCTTGTCATTCAAATGATGTCACAGGGAGACCTGAAGGGCTTGCTGATCTTTCACGAATGGCATAAAGATCTGTTGGTCCGTATTGCGCTTTCGTCTTATATATATTATACACAGAGTCATTAAAACTTTCGCCTTCACTAGGTTCGTTTGATCGGAATTACAAATTGAATAAGATCTGGTAAATTTTTTATTTTAGTAGTCTTAAGAATATTCTAAAGTGTTATAAACAAACAAAAAATTACATTTTGCATGCAGTTATAACAACATTTTATCGCTTTGGACAATGCATGATAGTATATCGCAAATTAAACACTGTTTGCACAATTGTGCTTCCACGTAATTAATTAGTTTCTGACCAAATGCTACTATAAATATAGTTAGTGATAAGAATATCATTCTTTCCTCATTTTTGAAAAATATTCAATATTTGATAACATAAAAACATTTTTAAAGCAGAGTGTCATGTTTTTGTCCGCTATAGCATATCTGTGTCATGTGTAATTGCGAATAAGTTCAACTTGTCTTAGCCAAAATTAAAACATAAGTGATAAAAACCTAAAATATTTTTATTTGAGGTCCTTGTTTCACAAAAAAGAAAAAAAGTGATCAAGGTCATGTTCTAAATTTTGACTTTTGCTTATTATCCCTTCTCCATAGAAACCGTATAGAAACATTGACAAAATATTTGAATTGAGTTGTTAGTTGTGGTAACATATAAATTTGGTAAATACGTTACGTTGACACTTTATGGGAGTTTTCTCCATTTTAATATTTAAAATTAACTGAATATTGATATAATTTATTAATCACGTACAGAAGAGACCTAGGGACTTTTGATTTAAGTTTATTCTTTATGAACTTGAAATTGAGGTCAAGGTCAAAGTTTTATTTGAGATTAGATTTTCATTTTTCCTCTCACTGTATCTTTGCACATTATAAAGTCAAAGATTTTTTTTGGCATTTAGTTGCCGAAATTTGACCTGTATGAAGTCCACCGGAATTAATTTTTATTAACTGGAAGTATTAAGTTAAGCACGAATTTAATGTAAAAGTTCCATGAATTCAATACTTTTAGAATTCGATAACCCTAATAATTCAGTCCATCCCCGTAATGATCTCTACTACTTGAGAGGAACTGGAGTCCTAACACAATTAACACTCTTCACAAATCCTGGATTTGAATTGTTGCTCTGTGGAAGAGATAACGATCAGCAATCAGCTCTTTTCCATCGAGATAAGTATATCCAGAGCTAACTCCGAATGATTGGTTCATGGTTTTTGCATTCATGCTTTAATCTACAAATGTAGAAATGGTAGATCTGTGAAATATAAGGACTGAATAATACGGGTAGGGAATAAGAGTGAAGTAACGTATCGTTTGAAACCGGAAGTGAAATTTTGTAAATTGGAAGAAGCAACGTCTCGTCTTATTTCAAGCAGAAGTATATGGAAACCAGATATATTTTGAATCAGTAGGAAGTAAGCTATATTTTACAACGTTGGTGACTCTGAGTATACTTTAAGTAGTTGTTGAAATCCTTTATTTCATCAAAAAGGTACCATAAATTATATATAAGGAATCAGTGAAAAATAAGCTACATTCTAATGCTGAAATGACCTTTTAAACCGTAAGTTAATATTTAAAGCAAACGAGTGTGCAGTTGATGTGGAAAGACCTTCAATTATTCTCTGAAAGATTTGGTTTTGTATTATTATTATTACTATTATTATTATCATAATTATTATTATTATTATTATTATTATTATTATTATTATTATTATTATATCGTATTGTATGCAAGTTCAATTATTTAATTGTAAGGTTTGGTATTTGTAGGTTTGATAAAAACTTCACAGAAATGCCATAACATTGATGAATCTATATCGCTTCACGAATGTTCAAAATATTATCTACAACTTAATGACACATCTTTAGTATTTGATCGAGAATTTGACAACTGTTCAGCCGTATACCAGGATGTCCAAACATCAATAACTACATTATGTAACGATATGAAGAATTCAGACATTTGCGCCTTCGATCTTCCGGAATTAATTATGGAAGACCAAAGATGTTTTCAATCAAACTGGCTTTCGGTCGAGTACAAATGTGAAGGTAATTTTTCAGAGACAATAACATTATTATTGTTTTGATATGCAAAATCAAATCAAATCAAATCAATTTATTGGTGTAAAATCCAAATATTGGGTTGTTACCAAGACAAACATGACAATATTTACAAACATACAATATTTAAATTTAAGCAACATTCATATTATATAAAGTATATCATATATTTAGATATTTTAGAGGAGGTGATACTTTTGCAAGTTATTATGATGAAAATAAAATCAAAGTTACAGAAGTATAGAATATCTGGTTATACACTATATTATAGAAATAAATGAAAACTTTTTATTGGTCCGAAGCGCTTTTCTGGATTTACCGTCATCAGGAATATTTGGAAGCCAAATATTATTAGAAACTGTCGAAGAGCTATATGAACAAAACAATGATATAAAACAACCAAACTAGGGTTAACTTTGCCTTAGTTTTTTCTTTCAATTTATAAATTTTTAAATGGATAATTTCAGAAAGGTTATAGTTGTAAGCTTACGGAAATGACTGAAAACTGACTAATTATAAATATAAACTTGCCACAAGCGTAATTTAAGACTATAACAAAGTATTTAACACATGGCAAATATTTTAAAACATTTCCACATCGAAACAAGACAACACGTTTTAAGGTTAATATTTATGTTTAAGATTGAATATAAATCAAGACAACAATTTTCATCTCGCATTTCGCTGAATGTGAGACAAATGGGTGTTAATCCAGTGGCAGCGGTGACGACGTAAATGATTTTTATAGGCTAAACATTTCAGAAGGTAAAGATTTTAGATACTTTCTTTGTTTACGTTCTGTTTTTGTCATGTGGCTCATTTCCGTTGTAATGGTATTCATTGTCATGGTAGAAGCCTCGGTGGCCGAGTGGTCTAAGTAGTCCAATTACTATATCACTACCCTGTCAACACTGAGGTTGCGAGTTCTAACCCCGCACTTATAAGGAGCATTCGACTCCGATCTCAATTAAATAGGATTGTTAGTTTTCCTGACGGTTCTCTCCAGGCACTCTGGCTCCCCAATTAATAAACTGGTCGCCACAAAAAAGTCAACTGTGTTGAAAGTGGCGTCAAATACTAATCATACAATCAATCAACCATTTTCGTGGTTCAGCGATTGCTTAAAAATTTGGATGTCTTTATATTAATCATGTGGTTTTGTTCAGTTATTATAAGTTATAGGAAAACTATATTTTGTATATAAAATAATACGTGTTCGTCAGACAAGATTCGTTGAACCAAAACCTGGTTAAATAATAAGGGAACAACGTTATATGTCATAGTTAGATCCGGGTACAGTTACTATGAGCAATTGATTAATTATATTTTGTGTTTGAAGGAATATGTGTTGAGTTGTACGTCTGGTAGGGTTTATATGACCTTGATCTTATTTTTCTGTTTCTTGGGTCAACGTTAATCTTTCATGGTTGTGAACGTTTTTCAGAACCATTCGCAAAAAGTGAAGTATATTCAATGTATAGAATGATTGAAAAGTGTATATGTCCAAATTGCCGGGTTCATTCGACATTGACTCTTTTTTCATCGTTCATTCGTCAACATCAAGATTTCGTGATTTAGTGCGTTTCTCAGGAATTAGAAGCATTAGGTTTACTATATATTTGGTGTATCAAACGATTCTAAGATCTACATGTAGGGTTTATCTGACCTGATCCTCATTTGCCTGGTTTATTGGCCAATGTCCGAGATTTGTGACAATGCCGTGTCTGCTATCAATCAAAGAGAGACGAATTATATCAAGGAGACATTTGACAGCAATTGGTCAGTTATTTTTAGTAAATGGAAAAATTCTAACATGTTTACGGCTGTCTCGCAGTATTTCCTGACCTTGTCCTCATCTTGATGATTAATTGATCAACATCAAGGCTTCGTGATTAGACATATTTCTCATATTACGTTACGTCCGGCAGAATGTGTTTATCTTGACCTCTTTTAATGAATCAGCGATCAGCTTTCTCTTTTCTTATTCCCGTTTCTCAGATACTCATAATAAGTACCTACATTTGGGTTATGGAATAATTGGAAGGTATACATGACCGTCTTACGTTGTCCTAATTTCCGTCGTTCATTGATGATTTGTAAATTTTATGTAGTGCGTGTAATAAAACTCTGATATCAACGATTTTCAACGTATACTTCAACGTGTGAGCGTGTGCGCATCTAGTTTTTGTATACTTGTTGGTAGTTATGTAGAGATTTACTTTACTATTCGTGTTGTTTAGTCTTTGGTTTTCTGTATAGTTGTTTCTCTGTTGTTCTTTTTCTTTTTTAACCGTGAAGTTGTCGGTTTATTTTCGACTTATGAGCTTGAATGTCCTCTTGGTATCTTCGCCTCTTGTTTACTGAAATAATTATAAAATTTAGGAGTTTTTGTTTTCCAGCTGAGGTAACTTCTACAGTTTCGTCAGCAGCTACCGCCAGTAAAGGTTTAAGTGAAGGTATGATAAACGCATAGCACAGAAAGTAACAAAAATGGTGTTCTTTTCATTTAATGACTTAACAGTTGATTTTGATTTCCAATATGACCACTTTATTTTGTTTAGATTGAGTAAAACTTAAATTTTAGCCTGACTATTCTTTTCTATTTCTAAAAACAAGTACAGTTACAGCTTAACCTTCAAAAGAAGATTGAAAAGAAGTTTGTTTTTATCTTTAACTTTATGTTCTGTACTTGTTACATACATTCGATAAATGCTGTCGTCTTGTTGAAATTTTCCAAAGTGCATAGAATATGTTGAACGCTTTTATACCATCGAAAAGAAAGAAGGATACTACAGATACAGTTGTTGAGTCTAATTCATATTTTGACTCAAACAACAAAATTTAGGGTGGGCTTAAAACAAAACTTTACGACAAAACAGATGTCTGTTTTCCAGTTGTCAACTTTCCATCTCTACATAGCAAAATTCCAGCAGCCCTTGCACTTTTATTTATATATGTTTTATATAGAGCTTGAGTTTTTATTTTTGATCTGTTCATTGTTTTCCTTTAAGTATTGGTATTTTTCTTTGGCTTATGATTTTTATTGTACCCGTCGTAGCTTTTTATTCTTTGATCAAATCAACAACTTTTTTTATATTATTTTTTTTTTTCAAATGAACCCTTACCAAGTGAGATATAAATTCCAAAGAACTCACACTTTCAAATTACTTCTTATAGGGAATACTCTAATGATAGCATATAGCATCTATTATAAATAAACATATTTAATGACCATATCGATGATATTTCATGTCAACACATAAGTGCTCACTACGTATACTAGGCAGATAAAACGCGTACCGATGATATGTCTTGGAAAAACAGTCAATTTAATGTAAAATGTTATTAATTCCCTTCATCTTCACCTATATTGCATGTATTCGACAATTGTTATGTTCAGTCTTCTAAAGAAAGTTAAACATGATGAGACTCGAAAATTATTTTACATATGATATGTTTCCATCAATAGCAACGATTATTACAATTTAGATAGTTCCATAGATTGTAGCAGTTTGCATTGTCTTATATAATTACACACAACAAAACAAACCGAATCAGGAAAGACTTCACATTTTAATGTGAACCTATTTTAATTTGAACATACAGCATGATGAAAATTCCTTTTAACATTCTAATCTATGTAAGCGATACAATTAGTGAGATATTCATCAAGTATTTATTTTCAGCTGAGGAAACTACAGTTGCATCAGATACTACCTCAAGAGACGATTCAAGTGCAGGTAGGTCTACTTTATCTGTACATTTTAAAGTATTGCAATCGTTTTTCTGAAGTAACTGTTAATGAAGTCACACTGAATTAATAGAATCTCTGTTTTAACTTAAAAATATTGGGATTATCTCTTTGCTAAATTGAGATTTTAATCACAATGATATAATTGCCACATAATGAGGTACGTATATGCTTTTCAAAAAGACAAATGGATGTCTGTCTAAATCCTTTTCAATAAGCAGATCAATAAGAGAAAGATGTCCTTGTGCCTCTTATATATGATACAAGCAGAACCAATGGCGTGTGTCCCTCGCTCAAATATAGAAAATTAAGGCGACAGAGCTGTGAAAGTACTTTTATTCATGGGGTACCAATTTTCATGGTTTTCGTGGATGGCTTCAAGAAAAATCCAAAACGTCCTTTATTAAATTGCAAAATGAAAAGCTCAAACACATAAAACGAATGGAAAACAACTATCATACTCCTGACTTAGTCATGTTAGTACAGGCATTTAAGTGACATGTATATGAGCCAATTAACACATTTGATGATCGTTAACTTGTTGATTATTAGATGTGGGGTTTATTAGTGTCATTACTTCTGAGTACATGTGTGCAAAAATATTTCCGAAAGCAATTATCATATTGAAAATTTGACGAATGCTGTCGGTAATTGAAGACAAACAAGTAAGTGTAAAGGAACACCTGATTTTGTAATATCCCATAAATCATTATATAACAACATATGCTTATTTTCAACAATCTTCGTTTTTGAAAAGTCCTGTTACTCGTGCGTATCAATTTTCGTGGTCTGATCAAAAGTAATGTGTACTTTGGTTCCTAAATTCTATTTTTTTTAGTTTTCTAAAAAAAAAATCGTGTGAAGAATTTGAAATCATTAGAAACGAAGATTCTTGAAAATAATCATATAGACATAGGGTATGTCTTAAAATAAAAAAAAAATTAAAATAGAAAAATTGAAAAATTGAAATCATTACGTTTGTCGTAAATTTGTGTTTAAAGCCGTAAATCTGTGTCAATATCGGGGAAATGATCAAGATATGAATCAGACCTTCTTTCGGTAGTATCTTTAATCTCAAGTTCACTGTGAACAATGAGATGTGAGCACTCTTTGAAAGAGACGTTATTGACCAACAGGACATCATTAACAATCTGAAAGAGAAATTACATAAATTTTCTTTTTGTGTTTGAGTAGATTATGTATGAATTCTGCTCAATATGAGTACATTTAAAAAAAATCAGCCATTAGTTGTGCACAGTGCATACCCATTAGAATATCGACTGTAAGATGAACTATCAATCGACAGAACTCAACAAATATGTTGTCAATGAGAAATTCAGCATTTTGATGATATCATCTTTGGTGTATTAGTTGTGGAAATCAAAAGCGGTTTTTCATGAAGCAAGAATTTTTTCATGAATATTTATTACGGTTTCCATGAGTCTAAATCAAACAGAACACACTTATTTCGAATAGACAACCTTAACCGTTTGTATTATATGGTTATGTATATATTCATATGACATAAAGTCTAAATATCAATATCTAATAATTATTAAAGACCGGATAACTAAATATCATAGGATTCATACTTTTTTTTTGTTGCTTAGACGAGAAAAGATTTGAACATTAAGAAAATACAAGTTTCGAGGTGTGTAGAATATCAATTGAAAATGGAACCATGTTTTTATGTAGAATGTTGAATGCTTGGAGTATTTATTTTTCCCATTAATAATGTCCCTGACAAATGGCATTTGTAACAAAAGCAGGGACGCCTCTGTAAAGTAGAGGCAAAAGATACCAGAGGGACATTCAAGCTGCCCTGTACTATTTAGGATTTATGTTTGCAAAGTGATTGAAAATAAAAGATGTTGTTCATGTGAAAAAAAAAACTAAAAAACTTATATGACTATGTACCTATATATCACCTATATATCACTATATCCCCAGAATTTAAGACGACGCAGTCATTTAACAACATCTGTATAATTGTAATCTTTTTCAGTCAGTATATAATACGATAAGAGAAAGGGCCTTTATGTTTTTATACCTTTGAAAGGTTTTGATGTATTTCCTTTAAAGTTTACATCTCGAATGTCTGTGATGAAGGCTTTTAATAAAACACGTGCCATGTACATTCAACTTGGTTTCATACTTTTATTTGACATTTTTTTAACTCTTTAACCTGTTTTAAAATTTACCAATAGCATATATACTCCTATATGATATATAAGAGATCAAACCGATTATTCAAGATAATTTATCCGTTGTAAATAAATCTTAGAAAGCAATAAGTAGAAGGATTTTCAAAAAGTCAAATAAAATTTGAATTTTCCGCAATCTAAGACTATAAATGTAATAATAAACAGCTTTTCAACGATAATATGTTAAAAATTGAACTGTTTATTTAAAATTTCAGAAACAACAGTTCCTTTGATGTTAACATCAGAAGCTCTATCGCAAGGTATGATGTTCAAAGTATAAACAATTTACGAATTGTATAAAGCAAAAATGTACATATTTAAATATTTTTTCATTACTCATTACATTTAAAGCTCATCTGACCATAACGCCATGTCATCAGTGTCATCATTTGGCATCCGTCGTCCATCCTCTGAATTTACCCAAATTCTATCAAACTTGGGGTTAATGATTCTTTTTAAAGTCTCCCGTATTAGTGGAATGACATTATCCATTAAATTTCATTTTTATGCCCCCTCTTACACAAGGCTTCATAATATATTATTAGATAGCCATTTATCTGTACTTTCTGCTTGCCTGGTCGTAAAAAAAATGGTACGGTGTAATTTCTGTCATACTAAGAACAAGGGTCAAAGAAAAACAATTTCTTACTTTTCGAAATGTTAGAATTATTGCATATTCTTTCAGATTAATAGTACAATAAAACATGAAAATAAGGCAAACCTTTAAAAGTGAAACAGACAGATTTACTGACAAGGTTCCTGACATATGTACATATGTAGAGGGTTAAACTAGATTTTTTAAATCTCAGCCCTCTTCTTTTCGATCTCTATCCGTTGGCTTCGTGTATCTAAACAGAACTTGTCATAAAATAATGTGCCATGAAAATCATCACAAGAAAAATAAGTATTTCTAAATATAAAGGTATTATAGTTTAAAGCATTTGTAAAGGGCACAAAAGCATTATTTATTCCATATAAACAAAATTCTCCAAGTTACTGAGCGCAATTGCAAAGTACAGTACGTGCTGATAAGACCGCATGCCGTCATAAAAGATATTATTGGTTGGTTCAATTCACAGAAAATTTGACACAGCAACGTCATTAACAATACGAGAAATCAAATCATGTGCACACACTCTGAAGAACTTCAATGTAGAAAACTAAAAGAAAAATTGGAAATATTGATTCAAACTTAAAAATATTCCAATTGATTTATATTCCCAAAAAATTCCAGATGCAGTTATATAATAACAACTGTATAATTGTAACCTTTATCCATTAGTATAATATGATAAGGAGAGAGCACCTTTTAGTTTTGACAGTTTTTAAATTTTGTGCCTCAAAAAGTTTACATCTCGAACGTTACTTGTGATAAAGTCTTTTCCTGAATCACGTGGCATGTTCATTCATCTCTTTTACTTGAAACCCATATACATCTTTAAGTATATAAGAGACAAAGTATATTATTTCAGAAAATATCTCACTTGCAAATAAATCATAGGAAGCAACCATCGACAGAGGAGTATCTCCAAAAAGAGAAACCAAAATGAGAAATGTTCACATCAAAGACTATTTAAACGTAATATCAACTGCATTTCAACTATAGTATGTCTAACATTAAACTGTCTTTTTCAAGCTGCAGAAACAACAGTTCCTTTACTATCGACATCAGAAGCCGTATCGCAAGGTATGATGGTTTAATGCATTACTTCGTGCTTTGAAAAATATACTTTATTTGAATCTCTTCATTGTTTTTTTAACGTAAATGCGCTGACATATTACATTAAAAGCCATATGAATTTTTTTTATTCACTCGATAAAACAAAGACGCACTTGAAAAAAACACGGACTGCTCTCGAAAAAACACGGACAGATAAAAAAAAAAAGAATTTACTTTCCAAAATGTCCTTTTCAATGAAAAATAAAGATTTTTTGTAAAGTGTCTATATATATCTCAGTATATATAGATTCCATGTATGCATTTCCGTTGACATTTGAATTGGTATGTGTATAAAAATGGCTTTAATCTATATTTTGGAATGAAGCATTGTGAGGCTAAATTAAACGCATTTAAATCAAATTAATGTAGGGTTGATTATATGTTTTATCACAAATACTAATTTACCTTCCATGATCTTAAATATAAGGTTCTAGCATCTTTTTTTATGTTTTAAGAGAAAGAAAGTCTGTTTGTTTACATTTTTGATCATATTCACTCGGAAAAACGTGGTCACACTCGAAAAAACCCGATCAAATTACTCGAAAAAACACGATCCCACCCGGACACTATACCTACTGTGGTATGGTTTAAGATATACGATTCAACTCGCAATTGATTATTTACAGGTCTAATTGCCGGATTAGTTATTGGTTCATTCGTGTTAGTGTTCATTGCAGCTGTGATTTTTTTAATCAGAAGGTATGTTAAATAAACACAAAAACGATTGCCGTTGTACTTGAATAGAATAAAAGAGAGTCCGTTTTTTGAATCCTCACAATTCATATACCATGTGTACCTGTACTACGCTCAACCTGCCTTGTTAATTAACAAGATACCATTTGGGCACTCTAAATTCAAAGCATTGCAACCATCATCACCGCCAAAACAAAAAACGAAAAGATAATCAAGTCTGCAAAACACTACACTGAAAACTGCAAACTAAATGATATGAAGCCAACCAAACAATTAATATGGAATGCTACAAAAAGTTCAACCCTGTTCGAATATGTAGTATTCGATCCACAAACAGACAGCTTGCATTTTCTGATGGGCACGATTGCCTTTATGCCTTTGAGAATTGATATTTTATATGTACACACTAATGGTTGTCGACTGTAAAAAATAAGACCAGAATAATATTTTGGGTACAGCTTCTGCTAGAAAGATAATGCCCTGTTCGTGCATATAGATCACTGAGAAAATTTTAATACTTATCTTTAAGTTCTCTCTAGGCTAGAGATTAAAGATGACTCTTATGCAATCAGTATAGAATAAAGACATAAGTGGTAGACGTCACTGAGACAGCAACTCAACAACAAAGAAACATAATAAAGATTACCACAGTTCAACATGTGTTCGTAAATAACAGACATTATGTAGATCGGTGGTAAAAGTCAATTTAATACAAAGCCAATCAATTTCGATTTCCAATATGTTAAGTTCCGTGTTTTAAAAGTTTAAATACCTTAGGCTCAATAGATTTATGTTTCAAACAACATAATCGTTTCCTAGAATCATGTCACAGTATTAAAACTACTCAGCTTACATTTCAAACTGATTTGGTTATATGAACTTGTGTGAAACAAAAAATATCATTATAACAGTTGACACGAATATGTTGACAATCACACTATGAGTCTCTCAAAAATATATGGAAACATTTTGTCAAAAATGTGTCTTCTTTGTTACAGGTATTTTCACAAATACATTAGTTAAATATAGGTAGGGCCAATGTATCGAGTCACGTATCAGAAGCCGAATACCCTTACCGTAACACATGATGGCTTTTCCAAGTTTTAATAAGTGTTCGTTATGCCAAAAGATTTATACTCAACCTTGTTCTATTAACAAGTGTATTATAAAATTGATTGTATTTTGGTCTACATTTTTAGACAAATCACATTTTTGCACTTTCTTTAGGATTAATGGCACTCAACTTCTCTTTTTTCACAATATCTACGGTACTGGTTGAGTATATACTTTTAATAAATTTTATAAAAAACATATATCAAAAAACATTTTAGTATCTGGTGAAATCATTACATTATAGATATGTTTTTACAATTCAGGTTTTTATTAGAGAAGAACAATTTAGAAAAGGTTGACAATCTTCAAGGAAATGACTATACCGGAAATCAAACAATAGCTCTACAACAGTCTTCGAGTCCACCACATTATGAAATTGTTCAAAATACAAATAACCAATATGATTTTACGAATATAGCTATGACTAACTCTAATGAATATATAAACAATGTAGAAAACGACGACGAACGCCAACATATTGCACCTCTTGAAGATAAAACCCAAGGAAAATATGAAACCAAAGGCAATCAATATGAGGTTATTGATCCTACAGCCATAACAAGCTTTTGTCATTCAAAGGAAGATACACCCAGATTAACAGAAAATTATACAGTTTTAGATCAGAAGGCAACCGGATTTGACCAGTCAAAAATGACCGACAAAAATCAGTCTTATGAGCTTTCTAAACCAATCAATGCAGAAAACGATCATTATGTTATGTCTAAAGAAGGAACACACGCCTGTGCTGGTTGTCATTCAAAAGATGATGAAACTCAGGTAACAGAAAACGACGATGAACGCAAACATATTGCACCTCATGAAGATAAAACCCAAGGAAAATATGAAACCAAAGGCAATCAATATGAGGAAATTGATCCTACAGCAATAACAAGCTTTTGTCATTCAAAAGAAGATACACCCAGGGTAACAGAAAATTATACAGTTTTAGATCCCAAGGAAACCGGATTTGACCGGTCAAAAATGTCCGACAAAAACCAGTCTTATGAGCTAGCTAAACCAATCAGTCCAGAAAATGCTCAGTATGTTATGTCTAAAGAGGGAAAATACGACTGTGCTAGTAGAAACAATCATAAGGAATTGGAGAATATTTATAACCATGCTGTTGATAATGTTTATGATTCTGGAAGTTACAAAAGAAAAGATTTTGGGACTGCAGACACATACGATCATTTTGTCGGGCAGAAAAACGGGAGATGACTATCATATACATATAAAAACCTAATTAACATTGTAGTTTTCCAAGGTATAATTTTAAATATGGTTTCATTTAACCATAACTTTCATATACTAAATACAGTATTTTTAAAAAAGTAAAAGTATAATTTTGTAATTAATTAAACATGTTAAATGCTGATAAATTGAAGGCAATATAACTTATTATTATTCTAAATATGAACGATCATTGATAATCACGGTCTATCGTAGAAACAATTAAATATACTTAATCATGTTGTGTCATTATTGATTGTTTTGACTAACATTTTAACATTTCTGTAATAACTGTGTTCTTTATAAGGTCTTAGGTCAAAAGTGTTTCCTTAATTGGAAATTCTCGCTATAATTTCATATAAAAACACACTTTTAATAAAACTTCTACACTAAATATATTTCTTGTCATAATTGCACACAAAAAAATCATTGAATACAGAAATATCTGCAGTTTCTTGCAATTATTATGAAATATGTTTATAATTCATATTGTTAGGGAAATCACTGTTTAAATAAAAATATGAATTTCTGCACGAAAAATTCATATGGCTATATAGGGACAAAATACACTTGATTTCAAAACTTGTATACAAATAATGATTTCTTAGTGATGATATGTCAGAAAAACATTTAAAAATAACCAAAACACACTGTACACATTTATGAGTTTAACATTTAATTTAGGAAATATGTGTTCTTATATGAAATAATAAGGGAATTTGTAATAGGTGAAACACTTTTGACCTAAGACTGTATTTCAGTTATTACTATCAAAGCAGAAACATTGTACTCCTACATAGGCCTAAATTAAGAAAAGGCATTACATTTCTTGTTACAAAGTAGATCGGTCAAACACTCGTGTTTTGTATTAAGAACAAGAAATATTCACCTTTACCTTTTTCAGCTTTTTTATGTACTTGTCCAATTCTGACTAATTATATATTAACTAAAAATTGGGATATCTTTGTGTTATCATTCATATATGCTTTAAAGTTAAACTGGTTTCCAGATCTACAATAATTATGTACTTTGTTCCGTATTGACTTTACACATAGTTGTTTTGACTAGACATTTTGGTAGTTGTATTCGAAATCAAGAATGTGACTATTTATACATTTAATTTGCTTTCTAATTTTATTTGAACTTAAAATTTATTTTAAAACATTTGTTATTTATTTTGTATTATATGTCTGGTTTTGTGTTTTTGTTTTTGTTTTTCTTGGTTTAATTTGTGTCATGTCAAATTAATAAATAATTCAATGACAGTATAAAATAATAAATTTTTAATTACAGAACAAACCAGGTTTATGCCATTAATTTGACCTCCCAGATGTCTTATTCATGTTTGTTTTCATGAGCTGCAGTATTCAACTGTGGGTACCTTATCTCGCTACCTGCAGTAGCAAGCACACTTTACGCTGCTTTTCAAATATTTTTTTTTTTCATATTCAAGCTAGTGGTCATCCTTTTGTTAGATGGACTGTGTAGGTTTTTCATTATGTGTTTTACTTGGACGACATGTGGTCAAGCTATGGAAAATGGGAGAGGATGTGCTCACGTAAAACTGTTTTAATTCAACCACAAGTTGTGTCTGTACCAAGTCCGGATATCTTTCTATAATGGCCATTTTTAGTTACTAGTTGTTTTTGTCCTTGTTAAAACGTCTTTTTTCTTTAAGAGAAGTTTGATGTTGCTGGTTAGTGTTACCTGTTACTCAATTGTACGGTCCAATATTTTTTGGAAGACCTGTTATGCTTTGTATGTATTACTGATACGTGTGCACTTTGTTGTACTATAAAAATAAGGAGATAAGGTATGATTGCAAATAAGACAACTATCCACCAAAGTTTAAATAAAGTGGATGTAAGCAATTATAGGCAACCGTACGGCCTTCAACAATGAGAAAAACCCATACCATATAGTCGGCTATAAAAAATTGAAAACAACACGTTCAATAATTTCATGCGTCCGAAGCGCTTTTCTGGATTTACCTTCATCAGGAACGCTCAAAGCCAAACATTTGAAATCCGAGGGATGTATAAGTACCGAAACAGTTGAAGAGCTATATGACAAAAATACCTTAAACAAACAGCCAAATTCATCTAAGGTCAACTATAAAAGGCCCCTACATAAAAAATATGAAACAATTCAATTGAGAAAACTAACGGCCTAATTTATAACAAAACAATTAACGAAAAACAAATATGACAGACATGAACCAACGACAACCACTGAATTACAGGCTCTTGACTTGGGACAGGCACATAAAGAATGTGGAGGGGTTAAACATGTTTGTGAGCGCTCAACCCTCCCCCTAACGTGGGACAGTGGTGCAACAACACAAAATAAGAACAAACTATAAAAATCAGTTGAAAAGGCTTAACTCATCAGATCGATAAAAAACCGAAAAACATCAAACATAAATACAGACCGGACGTGGCAGGGTATTTATCCATCCCTCATCCCTAACAACAAAAAGTACAGATCTTAGAGTACTTACAGTTACTGACAGCTAGTTCAAAGCCAATAACAACGAAGTATAAAAAGTTTTGTATATTAAGTTTTGTTTAGATAATTACTGAACTATAAATAAGAGTAGAAATGATGTAAACATCAATGAGACAACAAGATAATTGTTTTTATTATACTAGATAAGATAATAAGATAAGATTTATTTTATTAAAGTGTCACCATTCATTACAGTATCTATATATATACACATAAAGTCATAAGAACCTAACATTTAGTAAAAGGATGCCAGCCGAAAACGACTTATGAGACACTATCATTAAAAAAAACATCTAGTACATACATAAAAGGACAACTTTGTTACATTTAAAAAGTATTTCGTAAATAAAAAAACATATATAATTTCTAGATGACATGTTTACGTCGGTAAAACATATAATAATGGGAACTAGCTAAAAGAGGAACCATATTCTCATTACACATAAGATAACGAAGTTTTTTAATATCTCATAAATACTCAAAATCAACATTTAAAAGACAGGCTTTGGCATATAATTCATGTCTGATAAAGTAAAAGTAAAAACAACAATTAAAAAGAAAGTGTTTTTCGTCTTCAATTTGGCAACTATCACAAAAAATACATAAACGGTCTTGTAGAGGTTCTGGTGGTCTAGCATATCGACCTGTTTTAACTTTAAGTTGTAACGAACCAGCTCTGAAAAGTGACAAAACACAAAATATACTTCATGTCAAAATGCCAGATTTTGATTGATTAATTCGAGGGAGACAATTTACTCTTTCCCATGGCTAATACTCTATTACCCTTCACGGAGACGCTTGCTCAAGTGTGCGCTTTAATGAATACGGATGATTGTTATGTACAAGACGACATAGTTTATAACTTTGAATTTGAAATTTAATAGACAGTAATAACAGAACATTCAGTATAACAACATGAACAAAATAAATAACAGATATAAGAAGATGTGGTATGAGTGCCAATGAAACAATTCTACATCCAAATCAAAATTTATAAAAGTAAACCATTATAGTTCAAAGTACGGTCTTCAACACGGAGCTTTGGCTCACATCGAACAGCAAGCTATAAAGGGCCCCAAAAATTACTAGTGTAAAACCATTCAAACGGGAAAAACAACTGTATAATCTATATAAAAAACGAGGAACGAGAAACACTAAAGAACCACATCAACAAACGACAACTACTGAACATCAGATTCCTGACTTAGGACAGGTGCAAACAATTGCAGCGAGTTTAAACGTTTTAATGGTACCAAACCTTCACCCTTATCTGAAACAATAGTGCAACATCACAACATAGAAGGACACACTATAAAATATCAATTGAAATGGCTTAACTCAATCAAAAGACATATTAACACACGTGAACATACACTGAACAAATAAATTGGATCTCTGATACAATGTAAATACAAAATAAATAAAATAAGGGAAGAATAATTAAAGTAACATGTCATACCGCTGTGAAATGTTAAACAATTTAAGAAAAATAATATGATTGCACAAAAATATCAGCCATTTGCAATTACTTTAAACACAGGTAAATGAAAATAATTTTGTTGTTAGGTATACGTGTACAGTTCAAATAGAGAAAGGAAATATTTTTACCAAATAAATAATTTTGATGTTCATAGTACGAAGAAGTGAAAATTTATAGTAATACCAAACATATCAAAGCTGGTATATAGACCAGATATAACCCTGCATTAAATAAAAAAAATAGCAGTTTTTGTATATTGGTTATCGACGATGTGTAGAACCCACCTCTCGAGACTGGGTTCATTGCAAATAAAACAAAAAAGAAACATCTAGCCGCTTACTTTAAGTTAATATCGACACTACTAAACTGCCTATCAGCAATAGACAAGTGTCCATACCATTTAAGTTTTAAATCACGGAGGTCAAAAGCTTTCATATTCAATAGTATTAACAAAGAATACCAAAAATCTTCGATACGGTACTATAATAATATATATGATACTGTAAAACATGCTAAATGAAACATGTAATTGTATTTACTACTTTTAGTCTCGCGCATAGCTGATTTTCTTTCCATAAGGATTATATGAAGATTTGTTTACATGTTTATAGTTATATATCCAGAAGGCATTGCCCGGGCAAAATATGAATTTCTAGGGTGGATTTGTTGAAGGACGTACGCGGTGCAATAAACAAACTATGCAACTAAGCTGTCACCATGCACAAAAGACACAAACCAGTACAAAGAAATAAGAAATGTGGTATGAGTGCCAATGAGACAACTCTCCATCCAAGTCACAATGTGTACAAGGAAAACAATTATAGGTCAAAGTACGGCCTACAACACAGAGCTTTAGCTCACATGTATATTATTGTAAAAGTCAGAATTTTCTGTATATCACAGAGCGAGCTGTTAGAAACTGAAAAACAAACCGTAATGAATTCAAACCGATCTTCAACAGCGTATGTAATGGTCACATAAGTGATTACATGTATAAGTGAAACCTGTTTTCTAATAGGTAAACATGGGGACACTGAGAGAGAATTATATAAAACATTTATTTTTATATCAACATATAAAAATCACTTTAACAAAGAAAATTCTCGAAAGGATAAATTACTACAGAAAAACATTAAGGACCTCGAAAACACAGAATCTGTCTCCAAATGGTACAAATGAAAATAAAAAAGTTATCATACATGTTATATACAAAGTTCATAGGCATATCACCAAATTTATTTGTTTTTGAGTTCTTACTGTTTTCTTTATTTCAAATGGTAAATTTGTATGACTTTCAAGATTTCAAAACTCAAACATCTAACTTTATTTCAAGTTATCAGACTTCAATTTTGGTTACCACTAACATCTATTTAAATGTTCCTTAAATGTGTACGTCAGACGAAATATGTGCATTTGGTACTATACGAACATACTATCTTATACTTTTTCGTTTCTATTTTTATCTCAAAATCCACGCGTAGTTGCACGATTTCGGGACCTTATTTTAGTTCACCGTATTGCAGTTTTAGTGACAATCCAACACCCTTGTGGTTAACTAAATTTAAGAAGCTACAATTACTCTACAGTTGGTAGAGTGGTCGGGTTCGTTGTGCTCAATCTTTAGTTTTCCATGTTGTGTTTTGTGTACTATTGTTTGTGTTTTGGTCTTTTTCTTTTTTTGCCAAGTAAGTTTTTTTTTCAACTTGTGAGTTTGAATTTCCCTTTGGTATCTATCTGTCGCTTCTCTTTTGGTACGTTGCGTATTTTGTCTTTTGTGAATTTGTTGGGGGTATTTTGTGCTTAGGGCCGATCTGATGAATCAAACGCAAACCATTTCTAACTGACTGTTACATTTTGGTTTTAAGTTGTGTTGTTACACAACTGTATCAGGTCAGGGAAGGGTTGCGCTTTCAAAAGCATGTAAACCAAGCCACGTTATCTATATTTGACTTTCCTAAGCAAGGAGAGTCTGTAATTATCTGGTTGCCGTTGGAAGCTGTCGGTTCTAATTGTTTTCAATTTATTGATTTATAAATCAGGCATGGTCATCTGTTTTCCTTTCCCTTTAAAGTCTTTTAATTTGTTTAAATTGTGACATCAGAGGCTTTTTTAACCTAACTTGACGGTATAGGATTTTGCTCATTGTTGAATGACGTACGGTATCCTGTAATTCGTCTTATCCGTGTACTGTGGTCATACATAGATTATATATATATATAGTTGTTTATTCACAGACATTCATGCCACATCTCCTTATTTTAATTTAAGTATATTATAACTTACCAACATTTAGATAACTTTCTTCTT